GGGGGGGGGGGGGGGGGGGGGGGGGGGGGGGGTAACACTGAAAAATGCCCTTTAGCTCCTGGGGAGGGAACACCGGCGGGAGAATTGGCATCGGATCCCCCCTTGGATCCACAGAGTCTGAAAGTCCGAGGGCCATCACAGCAGGTCCAGCGGCAGTCACAGCTTCACGGCCACGACGCAGGTGCCCGCCCTCCCCAAGCACAGCGGCGCCACCTAGAGGACGGACAGAGAATCACATTTTCTCTGTGCCTGTGATCGGAAGGTCGTCAGTTCAGCCGCTAGTGCTGTCCTATCCCCCAACGACAGGGGGGCCGCTGCAGGTTGCTGCCCTTCACTGCCAAACCTGCTCTTACTCACATGTGTCTTTGTGTCATGAAGAGGTGAAAAGTGAATTTCAGTAAAGTATCATCATTTCATTTCATTTCATTTCACAGTGATTCCTCCCTTCAGATAAATTTAAATAAAAGGGTATACAGTATACGTGCCATGATTTGTCTGATGAGGACCTGAATTTAAAGGTACCTTTAAATTATGCCTACCTCCCCCCCCCCCCCCCCCCCCACCCCCGCTTTCTGAAAGCCGAAGTGGCAATAGTCCAGCTGCAGGTCAGCGAAGTGGCACCGGCAGTGGTGAGTGTGTTTAACATGCTGCGCGATCGAGGCTCCCTTTCTATAGCCGCCTACTCCACATGCAGGCTGCGTTCCTATTGGCTGAAGGCGTGATAGCCAATGGCTGGGGGCAGGGGCGCTGGGTGGGCGGGGTCAAATAAGAGCAAATAGAAGAGTCAGGCCAACAGAGACGCTTTGCAAGCAAAGGGCAGAGTAGTAAAGAACAGAGGCACGATGAACGAGGGATGGACTGATGAGGGGCAGGGAGAAGGTGGAGGAGAGGAGAGTAGAAGGGGGGCTGCCTTGCGCTCACCTGCGTCCACTCATTGGTCTGCGGGTCGTATGTCTCCACGACGTCAAGGTAAGACTGTCCGTCGTAGCCGCCCACGGCGTAGAGCCGCTCGCCCAGCTGACACACCCCCACGGCGTCCCTGCTGATGCTCATGGAAGCCACTGCCGTCCACGTGTTCGTTTTGGGGTCGTACCTGGGGGAAGTGGATCTATCTATTACATATATTTTTAATTATATTTTTCTGTGTTATGTCCATGTCTCACTATGTTTAAATGTCTTCCACTTCAATATATTTGCATTTATTCTATTTATTGCTGTTTCTTGCACTATGACCAATGAAATCATAATCTGATCTCAGCATATGACCTAAACTTTGCCTACGGTACCCATACATGCATCCACCCATCTTATACCTGCTTAATCTGGTCAGGAAGCCCGTAACTAAGGGCGACCCAGAAGCTTCCACACCTGGGCCGCGGTTTACATCAGCGACACGCCTGACGAAACAGGAAGAGCCCAGAGTACAGGGCGTCGTCACGGATGGCAGGGACCGGCCCCTCATGTCTGGCCAATCCCGGCCCCTCATGTCTGGCCAATCCCGGCCCCTCATGTCTGGCCAATCCCGGCCCCTCATGTCTGGCCAATCCCAGCCCCTCATGTCTGGCCAATCCCGGCCCTTCATGTCTGGCCAATCCCGGCCCTGTTTGCACTGGAAAGCTGAGACTAAGAGCCCTGGATACAAGGACGAAAGGCCACCTGAAAAGTGTCTCCCCGCAGGCCACTGTCCCCATAAAGAGGGACCCATGAGGAGCACATTGCAGAGAAGTAATTGCAGAAACCCAAATATGGCTGTGTCACCTTTACTTCCTTTACTTATATGTTTATGTTTATTTATTTGTACATCTTTCTTTCTCTTTCCATGTTATCCTATTGTTTTTTTGTACCTGCGTCTTCATCGTATGTTTAGTTGTACTGCACTAAAACAAATTCCTTGTACATTTTGTACTGAGTGGATAAAAGGATTCTGATCCTGATATCTAAGCTCCAAGCTGAGATTAAATTTAGGTTTGGGCTTCCCGTGTAGAGATAAGACCTCCTTCACCCCAGAACTCACTGGGGTGCACAGAAGTGTCCCGTTTTAGACCGCGGTCACACTGCGTGAATTCGGTCAATTTCCTGCAAAGGTGGCCTTGACAACTCAAATGTTCTGAGCTGTTTGGTTTGCTTCCCGATGAGACACATTGCTGCACTCTGCACTTGTCCGTTAACAAGCTGTCATTACGTACCTACAGGTTCCGAGCCGGTCTCTCACCTCCATACATAAAGAACCTCGTTACACCTCCCTCAGCCTACAATAGCAAATTCACCCATAATCACCACACGGAGCTTCACCTTTCAGATGCTCTCCAGAGTGTGGAACAAGAGACATAATCCCCAAAGCCGTCAAGCTTATTTTGAATTACTGTTGCTGCTTTTTCGGGAGTGAATGGTGGCTCTCTGCAGGGTTCGCTGCCCTGAGGCCGTCTGACACGCCGACTGCAGCAAAACCTGGTTTTCATTTGATTTCTTGTGTTTCTTTTATCTTTGTACCTCTTAAAGTTTCGCCGTGACTCTGCACCCTTGGTCCGGCCGTTATTCTTGCGTTAATCGGAATCTTGACTAAACTGGCTAGTTAAACGATGGTTAATTGAAAAAATAACAATATAAATAAGACTACAAAGGCACCGCATTAATAATTCAAATTAAAACTGGTTTTATTTTGAGAATTAAATGACTTGGCAGGCCTGGTGAGACAGGTTTCTTCCTAACGTCGTTAAAGCGATGAATAGATCTAATCCTCGTCCTTTATCTTCAGTCAGAATCACACAAAAAGCTTTATTCCATATGGCGCTAATTCGCCGCCTACTGACGACCATGTGACGGCGACTCAGAGCGAAACAAATTATGGGCTAAAAGCCGTAGCCGTTAATCCCGGCGGCTGCGGGCCCCTGTGGCCCTCACCTCTCCACGCAGTCGGACAGGCGGGAGGTCAGGCTGGTGGCGGCCGCATCGTGCCCCCCGACGGCGTACAGGAAGCCGCTCCAGGTGGCCACGCCCACCCCGCCCCGCCGCTTGGTCATGGGGCTGCAGCCGCTCCACTTGTTGGTGTGGGGGTCGAAGCACTCCACCGAGCTCAGGCAGGCGCTACCGTCACGGCCGCCCACAGCATACAGCCTGCGGGACAAACAGCCAATCAGGGCTGGAGCTGGAGTGATCACATGGCCTCTTTGGAGAAGGAGGTGGGTCCCAGGGCCCTATATAAGTATCAGTAGTCGCATATTATTCTATACCAACAACATTAAATCAGTGTACTAATCTGAAACCCCCAAATTAGCTGAATCATATCAGAAATATGGAATGGCTCAGGGTAGGTGGGAGGCTGGATCAAGGAACAGCTTTTGACCGAAATAAAAGATCTGGTTTGTGATTGGCGCCCCCTAGTGGTACACACCTTCTACATCATGCGTAGACAGGAAATGGCCAGATCTGTCAGGCACACGTATCCCAGAGGTTCTGACCCTGTACTTCACTGCACCCTCAGGGGTGTACTCATCATACGAGAGGTATTCATTTTCACACACTTTAATTGAGTTATCATCCATCCATCCATCCATCCATCTTTTTTCTGTACCCGCTTGTCCTATGCAGGGTCATGGGGGTCTGGGAATAACCCAAAGCAGAGGGCACACACCATTTGCCATATGAAGGCTGCAAATCAGCGCCCCCTACTGGCATACATCTCCTCTACCAACTCTCCTCTTTTCCTGGTGGTTCCTATAGCAGATTCTCAGACCTTACACCTGAGGTGTCCCCCCCCCCCCCCCCCGAGGGGAACAGCAGTCACTCACTTGCCGGCGAGCACGGCCACGCCCACGGTGCTGCGAGGTGTCCCCATGCTGGCCACGAAGCTCCACTGCCGAGTCTGGGGGTCCCAGCGCTCCACCGAGCTCAGGTAGCTCCAGCCGTCATGGCCGCCAACGGCGTACATGGGGCCCTCCAGCACGGCCACGCCTGAACGCCGCCGCACGCACACGCACACGCACAGACATATGCACAAAACATACATGCACAGAGTCAATAACAAAGTAAACCAAAAACATGCAGAGGAACGCGGACTCCGCCGTTTGTTGCCTGGGAAACGGAGGTCATTAACTCTCCGATTCCTCGCAGTCGATGGCTGAGGGCATCACCCCCCAGCCAGGGAGAGCAGGCAGCTCAGCAAGACCGCTGTGTGTGTGTGTCACACTACTCACTCTTACTGTAAAGCTGCATTTCACAAGACCCCTGTGCGTGTGTGTCACACTACTCACTCTTACTGTAAAGCTGCATTTCACAAGACCCCTGTGTGTGTGTCACACTACTCACTCTTACTGTAAAGCTGCATTTCACAAGACCCCTGTGCGTGTGTGTCACACTACTCACTCTTACTGTAAAGCTGCATTTCACAAGACCCCTGTGTGTGTGTCACACTACTCACTCTTACTGTAAAGCTGCATTTCACAAGACCCCTGTGCGTGTGTCGCACTACTCACTCTTACTGTAAAGCTGCATTTCATGTGTATGTTAATTAGAACATTATTTTTATCATTCATTAATGATGGACCTGAGTGAGACCCCCTCCCCCCATTGGACCACTCAAACTAAATGGGCGGGGCTTCTGCGGTGTGTGGGTATATAAATATGTTCCTTATTTAGGAGGTGCTGAAGCAGTTATGTAGCTAGTTATGATCTTCTCACTCTTCTCACTAGCTATTTATTTTCTGAGATGTCTGTGATTGGTGACTTTCTGACTGGGGCTCCGCCCTGGACCCCGCCCCTAACTACCCCAGGCCCCGCCCCTGACTACCATGGGCCCCGCCCCTGACTGCACCTGGCCCCACCCCTGACTGCCCTGGGCCCCGCCCCTGACTGCCACAGGCTCCGCCCCTGACAGCACCGGTCACCGCCCATGACTGCACCGGGCCCCGCCCCTGACCCCGCCCCCCAGCGGCTGTGCCCACCTAGGCCATGCCGGTTGGTAGCCATGGGAGGCATGGCGCTCCAGCTCTTGCTACGGGGGTTGTAACACTCCACGGTGTTGAGCGTCTTGAGGCCGTCGCGGCCGCCCACCACGTAGAGACGCTCCTCCAGCACCGCCACGCCACACTGCAGCCGCCGGCCGCTCATGACCGCCACCTGCCGCCACGAGTCCCGGCGCGGGCAGTACTGCTCGATGGTGGTGGCACCTGGGGATGGACCGCGGGGAAAGGGTCTCATCGCCGCCCCCCATGACGGCAGGAATTAGCTACAGCTCCGTCCCACGCCATCCATCATCTTGACGACCCCCCCTCCCCCCCCCACTGCTTAGCTCGCAGTGTGGACACCGCGCCCATTTCTATGGAAACAGCTCAGGCAAAGCCAATCTGCAGAAGGTGCCATGGCTGGTCTATGCCAGCTGACGCGGCTCGCCGCTGCCCTCTACCTGAGGTTGGAGGAAGGGGCCCACCTTTGGTGGCATCCATGCCACCCACGGCGAACAGCGCCCCCACAGTGGCCTTGCGGGGCCGCGTGCGCGGGCTCTGGACCAGCATCCGGCGCTCGGGCAACAGATGGAACTTCATTGCCTCCATAAGGAGGCGCTGGCAGTCTGCACTGTGTAGCAGCAGGGGGTCACCCTCCAGGTCTGCGAGGTACTGGGGTGGGGGCAGGGACAGGGATGGGGGCAGGAGGGACAGGGATGGGGGCAGGAGGGACAGGGACAGGGATGGGGGCAGGAGGGACAGGGATGGGGGCAGGAGGGACAGGGACAGGGATGGGGGCAGGAGGGACAGGGATGGGGGCAGGAGGGACAGGGACAGGGATGGGGGCAGGAGGGACAGGGATGGGGGCAGGAGGGACAGGGACACAGACGATGGTCATTTGGGGGACAGGGACAGAGATGGGGGAGGGAGGGGACAGACGAGAAGACAGATATGAACAAATGTAAACAGAGAGTAAAACAGAAAGAGAGGAAGAAAGGAAAGACAAGGATGAAGGGCAGTAGAAAGAGAGATGGCAAGAGAGGAAGGGAGGTGTGTGACGAATATCGTTACAAACTTTCCAAATCCTGAAGCTGAATCAACTTCTGAATATACATACAGATTCTGTTTTATGCATGGAAAAGCTGTATGACTGCCTGTTTACATCAGAAGTCCTGTCGTTCACAAGCTCTTACACTCCGTATATTTCAGCAGACACTGTTACCCAAAGTGACGTATGTTTGAGAAAGCAGGGACACACACTCTGTATAGTAACTGAGGTTAGGGGTCTCGCTCGGGGGGCCCAAAGGGAACATCACTCTGTTGACATTGGGATTCGAACCAGCAACCTTGCGATCACAGGCACAGCGTCATAACCTGCTGAGTCACACGCACTCGGTACCAGCAGCGGATCTCTTGCCATCGGCTCAGCATTTGGACAGCAGCTTTCATTCTGGACGGACGCTTCCGGCCGTCTGCGTGGGCCGGGCATCGCGGGTCCCTCTGAAACGGGCTTCACCGCGTCCAACGGCGCCGCGGACAGAAGCCGCGCGACGGCCTCACGGACGTTTGAATTTTTAAATTCCTCATGCATACAGAAGCACCTGCTCTGCTTTGGAGCCCCCTGCACCCCCCCCCCACCATCCACCAGGACATTAAAAGCAGGTGGGGGCACTAAAGAATGATTTATTTATAGGGCGGTGAATTAGCCGGTGGTGGGGGTGGGGGGGGATGTGGGGTTGAAGAGCTTATTTTCTATGAATTTTAATCCTTGATAACAGCGTCGTGAATGTCGATTACGGATTAATTTACGGTGGTGATTTTTCTCGCCGTGCTGCCAGTCGGTCTGCTGTAGGAGTGTGAGCTCAGGGAGTGACACAGAGTGACATAGAGCGAGCACACAGCGCAGCTCTGCTTAAACCACTATGCCTATGGCTGGGGGGGGGGGAGCAGTGCAGAAAAGGGCGGGGGATATTAGGAGCCCGGCTTTGCTACAGACCCCCCAGTCAGGGAGCGGGTGGCTCACTAGGTCAGCCCTCTGCATCTCTGACCGGAAGGTTGCCACTTTGACTCCAATCCTTGGCAGGATAGTCACATTTCTATAGGTTCCAGGGCTGCTGGATGAAATGACCTCTGACCCCAGGCTTCATGCTCACCTTTGTATGCCTTCTAAAGGCAAGTAAAGCAGGATATACAGAAATCTCAAGCATTCCAATGTATTCGTACTTAGGCGCGATGAGAAATTCATCACCAGTGCTAGAGCTGACATCTTGGTGGCCATTAAAGCAGATCCGTAATTTCCCTGATTAATCGCTTCTCGCTCTCCGGCTCCGACAGCCCCTTTCCGGCCCTCCGACGAAGCGGCTTTCGTTCCGAGCAGCAGGCCATCGTCGCTTCTGGCTGTAGCTGCACATTAATCTTAAAGAAACTGTAAAAAGATTATCCAGTCTTCACATCCCGCCTCCTCCCTGATGTTGTGAGCAGTTGGTTTTTCCCGGTTAAGCGCCGGCTGACTTGTGCTCCTGGTCGCTCCGTCGATCCCCCGGTGTCGCATCCCGCCGGTACGCTTATCTCCCGGGAAACCCACGGCCAATCAGCTCCCCGTCACCCGAAAGCTTCCCGAGCGTTTGTTCAGAAACAGCAGATTAGGGACGCTTTTTGTTACCCTCTCATACGGACAAAACAGTTTCTTTATCACTCTCTTTAACTTATAAATGTGCTTTCCTCAACTTCCAGCATCAGTTACAAACTCCATCGTCACCCTCCTTTGCATTTGGGAACAAAGAAAAACAACTTAACAAAAACCAATCTTATCTAATTGGCAGTCAGGCACAAGTAATGCAATTGTAGACTAATCTCCAAGATCCTGTCCTGTCCTTGAACAATGGCTCAGTTACTTACTACTTTCTGCCTTAATTCTGACCTTAACCGGATATCATGCTTTTGATTGAAAGGTTGCTGGTTCAAATCCCAGAGTTGGCGGACTTATCTGAGCGAGGCCCCTAACCCCCAATTGCTCGAGGGACAGTCTGACCCTGTTTTCTCAATCATCTGCTAAATAAGCAAGTCAGTAAATGAAAGTTATCCCTGAGCCCTGTGTAGAGATATTGCAGGTGAGGTTAAGACCCTCCTCCTTCCTCTCCTCACATCCCAAAATACTCCAAAGTTGGCGTGAAACGCCCCTTTGTCGTTGAGTGAACGTCAATCAGAAGCCAGACATGGATGGACTGCCCCCTTTTGGAAATCCCGCTGTTCTGTGCAGCGTAGCTTTTCCCACACCAATAGTCTTGAGAATTTGAGCTTAAATGACCCACTCCAGGGATTTTATAAGAAAAAGTACATAGTGCATTAAATCTGACTGCATTGTAACACTTTTCAGCTTAAAATGAAATTGGCTCGAATTTCATAGTTTGGTTTTCAGCAGACTGAGACATTTCACACCTTGATTCAACCACAGTACCACAACTTTACCTGGATTCATTTCCTCACTGAAACAGCACTCAGCTGACATACATGGCAAGTTAAGGCATCTAAAAGTAAGAAGGCGAGTGACAGTTCGAATGAGAGTCAGTGAGGAAGGTGATGATGAAAATCCCTGGCTTACAGATCGCATCGTCACAATTGGCTTTTAATATTCTATATTGTTATTGTCATTATTATTACTGTTATTATTATTACTATTATTCATTCTTCTATCCAATGGTTATTACTCTGATTAAAATATTATTATAGATAGATCAGAATGAAATGAAAGTGTCTCCCATAGAGAGTTACCCCTGCCCTCTGGGCCATGTGCATCATGGGATACGCTCCAAGCTAACCGACTCATTACTGGATAAGCAGTTTCGGGGGATTGATGGATGGATGAATGCATGGATGGATGGATGGATGGACAGACAGATGGGTGGATGCAAAGTGCTTTCAGAGAATGCAATGTCTGAAATGAAAATGCACTATACAAATAAAACTGAATTGAATTGAATTGATGGATGGATGGATGGACGTGGCTTGAAGGAAGACGGACGGCTGGACAGACAGACAGATGGATTGAGGAATGATGGATGGCTGGATGGATGAACACATGGATAGACTAATGGACAGACTGATGAAAGGATGGACTGATGGACGTCTCGGACGGGTTCACCAGTGGACCTTGCGGCGCTGCCCGCTCGGCTCCCTCACCTGCGGCGTCAGCAGGGGCAGCCGGACGTGCGCCAGCAGCCGTGGCAGGTGGCACCTGCGCGAGGCGCCGTCGTGCCGCACCCAGCTCAGCAGCGCCCCCACCACCGCCTCCTCATCCGGCACGTTGACGTCGTCCGACGACAGCAGCCTCTCGACGTCACCGGGGGGCAGCAGCAGGAACTCTGGGTGGACGGTCACCTCCAGGAAGTGCTCCTGATAGGGGGAGGGGCATCTTTGAGGAGGGGGGGCAATCTGCTAGGGGGGGGGGCTCCCCACAACCTGGCTGAATGAGACTTCCCACACCCCCAGGAGTCTTTGATTGATTTTCTTTGGTGCCCCCCCCCCCCAGCCCAAAGACCACACAAACCAGTATCTGTAAATTGGTCACACTGTGATGTTGCGAGTGTGAGGGTGTGTCTGTGTCCTATGATGGACCGACATTCCATCCTGTTCCGCCTGGGATTGGCTCCAGACTCACTGTGACCCTGGACAGCTTAAGCCAGTGTTTCCCAATCCGGTCCTCAGGGACCCACAGACACTCGCACTGTGTGGCAGAGAGCTGGGAGGGGGCAAAAACATGAACTAATTTGTAGGTCCCCGGGGAACACTAGCTTAAGCGATCACCGACAATCACCGGAAATCACCGAAAGGACCCAGATGCTCAATACCAGCACTTAGAACCCTTCGGGAAAGCTGTGCGGGGGAGGGGAACCCATTTACCTAACAGGAAATGACATCATATAGGTGAATGTTCCATTCTGCCGTTCAGCAGGGGTACTTCAATGCAGGGGCCTCGGCTAAGAAGGGGCCCTTTAAAATGTCGACACCCAACCCTAACCCTAACCCTAAACCCCACCCCAGATGACAAATTTTACCATGGCAGGTACCCCAGGCGGACAACTGCACCAGTAACAATAATAATAAGGCGACCTCTGACCATGTTAATGTGCCTCTGGGTGGACCATACCAAGAGACGGAAATGGGGGTGTGGCACGACAAACAGCCGCCCAGCCATCGCCGGCATGTAGCAGGGGCGGCTCTCCTGCTGAATTGGTGATTAATTGAGCACACACCCCACCAGCATCACGCCGGGAGGTTGTTTGGTTTAATTCCAGCTTAATGGTAGAGGAAAGGAGAAGTGACAGCAAAAGGCTAATGTTTCACTTTCCAAATCTGCAGGGTGTGGTGAGGGTGGGGTGGGTTTCGTCAGGTGTGACTCCGCTCTGAAACTCCCAAGAAACACACCACCACTTTGGTGGCTCTCTCTCACGCATGCAAGACCGAGCTCCATCCATCCGCCCGCTCCTCTCCATCTGTTTCCTGTGCCACCTGCCCATCTGCCTATTCTGCACCGTCCCACACGAAGCGGCCAGGCGACTCGGCATGCATTTTGCTGTCACTGGCTCCGCCCACCGCTCAGCCTGCCGATTAATATGTCTTTCTGAGATGGAGAGGGAGCTCGGTGCTCAGATCCTGTTCCTGTGGCAGATCAGCGGATTCACTCCATACCATCCCAGCCAGGCCGTAGCTGTCCTTCCTGGTCTGGTTGGTTTAAGTAACTTCAGATGGCGGGATGCCTTGTTCTGTCAGAAAACTACAAACTTCCTCGCTCTGAAAAGGTGAGGAATGACACACTCGAGCAAAAGGAATCCCACTCAGATTTACAGTGACATGCAACCCACAAAGCACCAGAGCGTGTTATAGCCAGAATCATGGTCGTTAACAGCTGCCTCCGATGCTTCAGGTGACTGAAGACTGGCCAAAGTTTTTGCCAAATAGGGTGTCTGTTTGTTTGAGAGTTTTACAAACCTTCATCATCTAATATCCATTTTCTTGACAGACAGAACAAGGCATATACACACAGACACACACAAAAGTTGGTCTTCCTATCTAAATGGGGACCGTCCATTCAATTATATGGGAAAAACCATAATCCCAATCACGACACCCTTAAGCTCTACCCAGCCCTAACCTTAACCATAATACATAACCCAAATACAAGACTTTTGGCATTTTTACTTTTTTGATTGCATTCAAAGATTTTTATAAAATTGAATTTATCCAAATGGGGACCTCAAAAGATGTCCCCAAAAGTAGGGAAATTCAAGGTTTTACTACACTTTGGGGATAATTTGGTCCTCAAATGTGATCTATGCAAACCCACACACACGCATGCACACACTGTACGAGAGCCCATAACCTACCAGTGTAGACACACAAACCACGCACCCAGACTGTGGGAGGAAGTGAGAAGCACGTAAAGGAAACCCGCATGATGGGAACCGAGTGAGACACCCCAGAGGTGTGAGATCTCATGGTTTGTCATCAAGCGACCCCGCCCCCCCCAGCACAGCAATGGCCTAAGTAGTAAAGGTGCAACAGGTCACTAAACTCATGGTTTGGATTGTATCAGTATTCAAGTCATGGATCAGATCATTTTTTGTATCAGCAAAAAAATGAGGCAAATATAACTCTGCTCTCCATTTATTACTTAAACAACATAAAGAACGTAAAGAACATAAATAACACTTAAAGCACAGAAATTTTAACATGCCCCATTTATGTGAACACACAGCTACTTTCTCTGTATCTGTCTGCAACTCCGCACCGGACGGGAACCCATAGAGGACAAACATCATCATCATTTTCTGGCTTGTTATGTCAAAATCACAACTTATTTTTCTCATGATCTCAACACAGTCAAGGCTGTTTTCTAAAGACCACAAGTTATTTTCTTGAGACCACAAAATAGTAAAAGTTTCCTTGGGACAACAAAAGTTACAATTAGACACGCAAAGAGTGTTTATATAGAGGGAAGCAGATTCCACTAAAAATGCTATAGCTAATGCTATTGAATCTGTGCAGGTTTTTATTGCATATACACCGAAAATCTATAATTTCCCCCCGATGTGCTACACATAAGGGGGGAAATTCTTCCAAGCTCAGAACACATGCCTCCTATGGACTTCCATAGCATTAAGATTTAGGGAATTATTACGTAAAAAGTAACAGCAACTGATAAATGTATTTTACACCATTGTGGTTAAAATTTGCACTTAATCTGTGGTTCACATGTGTAACGAACCATGGGGGGCAGGATCCATACTGATCACGGATCAGCAATGACCCGTTTCACCACTACTGAGTGCTTAGTTTAGCTACTCAATTGAGAGACCCCCCCCCCCATATCAGGAAAGGAAGAGAATGACCCCCCCCTTCTCCGAAATTATGAACAAAAAAAAAGATTAAACCATCAGCAGATGTCTGGTAAAGTCAGAGCTTGTTAAAAGCCCTACAAACAAAATTAATTACTCAGGATAACAGTTGATCAGTGATCCCAAAAGATGAAGGGGAACTCACAGGCGGTTTCTATAGCAACCACAAAACTGCGGTACCCGCAGGCGACGAGATATCTGCAGTTTTATCGATGAGCCGCGGCGTCTGGGTGGATCGGATAATGTCGGGTGAGACAGAATGAGCCAGGGCTGATTATGGACCACATGGCGTGACAAATTAAACCATAGTACAAGGATGAGGAGGTTGTACGTGAAGGCAGGGAGAGTGCAAATTGGGCCTCGAGCCAACACCCACGTGACCCGTGTTCAGTGAATGTTTCCGAGTGATATGCTGAAAGCAGAACGGCGTGTTCCTGAGCGTGCCGGCGTGCCTCACCATCGCGTAGCTGTGTGCCAGCTTGAGAAGGTCCTGGCAGCCCTGCGCGTCGGCAAAGGAGCGGATGCCCAGGCAGTTGGAGGGATGCAGCTGCTTGACTAGGAAGCTGCAGCAGGCCTGCGCGACGGCAGACAGCTGCAGCAGGCAGGATGCGGCCAGCAGGCTCTCCACCGTGTCCTCACGCAGCTCCAGGCGGCCTGCCAGCAGGGACAGACACACCTCACCTTAGTGTCACAGACTCCAGCTCGTAGTAAAGCATGACCACTCCATACCTTTTCCGGGTGAAACGATTCCTAGTTAGGGTGGCACGTCTGTAGTCAATCTCCCCCACAATGCACTGCGGCATTCAGACATGCATGGTGTTTAGAATGCTTCTCTTGGCCTATGATTGACCTGGACTCTGAGAACCTTTGTATCTCCATTTCAATTTGCTCACATTCCATCTCAGCAGAACCCATGAGATATTATGAAGATATTACAATTAAATCCCAGCAGTTGACTGATGCCGCCCCCCCACCACAAACATGCTGGGTGCGAAGGACATGATGATGTAGATTCACAGATGCACTGCAGTGGATGTGTGGGTATTTTTACCATGTGACTCACTCAGCACCACACACTGAAACTCTGATGCCAGGACACTCGTGGCATAAACATTAAGAAGGGAAAAAAGGAGTAGGTGTACTTTACAGGAGCCCATAACCTACTGTTGTAGCCATACTGCATGAAAGCCAATAATGTACCGGTGTAGGTGTGCTGCACAGGATCCCATGATCTAGCGGTGTAGGCACACAGCACAAGACCCTATAACCTACCGGTGCAGACATTCTGCATGAGAGAGCATATCCTAGCAGTGCACGGGTATGGCAAAGGGTCCATAACCTTCTGGTGTTGGTGGAATGCATGAGAGCCCCTAACCTACTGGTGTAGGTGCACTGCAAGAGAGCCCTAACCTACTGGTGTAGGCATACTGCAAGAGAGCCCATAACCTACTGGTGTAGGTGCACTACATGAGAGCCCCTAACGTACTGGTGTAGGCATACTGCAAGAGAGCCCATAACCTACTGGTGTAGGTGCACTACATGAGAGCCCATAACCTATTGGTGTAGGTGCACTGCAAGAGAGCCCTAACCTACTGGTGTAGGCGTATTGCATGAGAGCCCCTAACCTACTGGTGTAGGCATACTACAAGAGAGCCCCTAACCTACTGGTGTAGGCATACTGCACGAGAGCCCATAACCTACTGGTGTAGGGGTACTGCATGAGAGCCCATAACCTACCAGTGTACGCATATTGCACGAGCGCCCATAACGCATCAGGGTCAACGCCCTCCATCTTCACCTCCTCCTGTTTGGCTTCCCTGACGTTGCTGGTGAACATGGCGCCAAAGTAGTCTGACACGGAGGAGAGGACTAGTCTGAAAAAAGGGACGGAAAAGAAATGGGACAGACAGAAGGAGAATAACAAAGTGGCAGAGGAATGTGCTCCTTCAGCTACCTGAAGTGCAGAGAAGCTTCATTTCAATTTAATGTCAGGGAGGCCAGAAATAGCAGCTCTTTTACATGAAGTGATTCATCCCCTGTTTCTTCATTCCCAGTTTCATTAACATCACAGGGTCCCGTTCAAAGCGTCACGGGTGAGAAGCTATTAAATCGCTAATTTCTACAGACGAGGGTAAAGTGTTATTAACAAGATAAGCCGGAACCAACAAGATTAATTAAATTATTCAAAATCTATTATATGTCACGGAAAGATCCGGTACCTGTTCAAATGGCGGCCGGCTATCTATAGTTATTCTGTAACTAACAATAAAATCGACATCACACTCCCTGCCATTAGCACAGCGCACAAAGTCGTCAACAAACCAACAGCGATCGCTAACCAATACAGCCGGCAGGTACCGTAACCAGCGAATCTAATGCTATTTAGAGTTTTCTAACAGGCATGTTTGTCAGGCAGTCATTTATGGCCATTGGTGGCTTTGAAAATTCAATTTCAATTCAATTAAATTTATGTTTATATAGCGCCTTTCACAACAGAGTCATCCCAAGGTGCTTTACATAGATGTGGTGTGTTACATTACATCATTAGAGACAGCAAATGAATGAATACCTGACCTCCAAAAGCTACAGTAAATCATCACCCCCCAACACCATATGTTCGGTTGTCACCTTCCCAACCCACAGCGTTCACCAGCCCCACCCCAAACGCTGCCCCGCTCATCGCCTGACCCTGAGGCATCTCTCCAGACAGGACGGCAGAGAGGGACACATTCTGAGGGATTCATGGGGATGTGGATAAGGAGCCCAATGTGACACCCCACGCTCTGCAACATCCGCATATCCACCAGTCAGCATTCATCTTCCTGGGAGCATGCGGAGATGGGGGGGAATCTTAATGAGATAAAAGTGACCTGCATTATGGATGCCTTTTAGACGGGGGGGGGG